GTCTCTGTAAATGTTATAATATAGTTTTTATGTGGTTTTAAAAAATAGATATTTTTTATTTTTAAATAAAATATAAATTTAAAGATATCATATAATTTTGAAAATAAATATATCAATATTAATATCAAATTAACTATTTAAAAGTTCTTGTTTTTTGTGTGATTTCTTTAATTCAAATTTTCTATTATAATTTAATTTAGTACTAGAAGGGTACTCGTGCAATGTATCAAGACACATATCGATTTCAATGTTTCATTTTATTTTTTTATCTATATCGATATGATATGGTTTTATATAGTTTTGAGAAAGCGATAATGTTTTTATTTTTGAATAAAATATAAATTTGAAAATATCATAAATATTTGAAAAAAAAATATCAATATTAGTATCAAATTAACTATTTAAAAATTCTACTTTTGTTAATTTCCTTAATTCAAAATTTTTATTGTAATTTAATTTAACGTAACAAAGTAATTTTAGGTTTAATAATATAATTTTTTTATAAAGATAATTATTAAGTATTCTGTTAGAACTCAATGATTATCCTAATTATATTTTTATATTTAAAATGAGATGCTTATCATGTATTTGATTATGTTTAGCTACAATTAGTTACATGGATTCAAACAAAGAGCTTTAATAAGTTGTACTTACATACAGTTTACTTATAATCTTGAATTTTAAGTAATATGCATTAATAAACAGTAATTCGTGCATAGAAAATGATTTTTAAGAGTTTTTATCAAATGCTTTATAATATAGTATAGATAATAACGAAGTAATTTATTCTTGATTTAATGATATAATTTTTTATAAGAATAATAATTAAGTATTATGTTAGAATTCAATGATTATTCTAATTATATTTTAGACTTTTTATATCTAAAATGAAATGTTTATCTTGTATTTGACTATATAAGCAGTTAGCTACACGAATTCAAACATAAAGCTTTAATAAGTTGTATTTACGCAAAATTTATTTGTAATATTGAATTTTAAGTAATATGCATCAAAAAACAGTACTTCATGCATAGAAAATGATTTTTAAGTGTTTTTGTCAAAAGCTTTACAATATAGTATAGATATATTATACTTTTCAGAAATGTTATATATATATATATATATATATATATATATGTACATAAAGATTAGTATGACAATTTTTTTCTTATGTCTAGTTTGGTTGCCTAACTTAATTGATATAACTTGTTATATAGTTATCTTTCATTTGATACCTTTCATTGTAAGTTTTAGTTATAAAAGCTACACCAACTGTGGCATTTAAAATGATTTTGGTAGCATTGGAAAGACCATTGTAAAAGGTCTTCAATTGAATGCAATGTAGGAAATCATGGTGTGGGCACTTATGTAGAAGTTGCATAAATCGTTCACATAGATCTGATATTGTCTCAACCGTTCCTTGCTGAAATAAAAGGATTACATTCCGAAACTTGACATTCCATGTAACACCTTGGAATTTCTTCTCCTCCCTCAGTCTCCATCCCCTCCCTGTCGGGACTTCTTCCGTCCCGTTTGCTTAGTATACGCCCTTATTTATATTTGTATGTATTTTTTTATATGGGTGTATTAAATATTAAGGATTTAGTACCCTTTTTATTTTATTTGATCCTTTCAAAAGGT